CCAGTCTGCATCTATATAGGATTCTAGCTTCAGATTGTCATGATTTGAGAAAAGAATGCCTCTACCAATGTGTTTTTTCAGATATGCAAGTATTCTCTCAATAGCTTCCTAGTGCTGAACCCGAGGTGAATGCATGCACTGCATTACAACACTGACAGCATAAGAAATATCTGGTCGTGCCATACACAAATACAACAGTTGGCCCGCCATTCTTTGATATCTCCCCACATCCTTTACCAATTCACCATCCACACCATTAATTTTGTGATTTAGATCAATAGGAGTGTCTACTGGTTTGGTCCCCAGCTTCCCAGTCTCTCGCAGTAGGTCAAGTACACACTTTCTCTGTGAAATGAAGATCCATGCTTGGATCTTGCAACTTCAATCCCTAAGAAGTATTTGATCTCATCAAGATCTTTGATCTCAAATTCTTGTTGCAATGATTTTTTGAGATCATCAATCTCCTCCAAATTATTTCCTGTCACCACTATATCATCCACATACACAATCAGAATTGACACCAAAGCATCTCTCATTTTCACAAAGAGGGTGTGATAAGGCTGTGTCTGTGTGTATCCAAAACGGATGAGTGCCCCTTTGAACCCGTCAAACAAAGCCCTAGGTGACTGTTTTAGTCTATACAGAGATTTTCTAAGTCTGTACACCTTTCCTTTACCAACATTTTCATAAAAGCCTGTTGGAATGTCCATATATACCTCCTCYTRTAARTCAYCATTGAGGAARRCATTTTTGACATCAAGCTGGAACAAGGGCCATGAATAGGTGGCTGCTAGAGATAAAAGGATATGAATTGAACTCATCTTAGCTACTGGTGCAAAGGTTTCCAGATAATTAACACCATAGGTCTGATTATATCATTTTGCTACCAACATTGCCTTGTACCTTTTTATCTTGCCATCGGCCTTATACTTCACTGTGAATATCCATCGACATCTGATTGTCTTCTTGTCTGGGGGAGATCAACTATTTTCCAAGTTTGATTTTTGACCAAAGCATCTATCTCATCTTACATGGCTGTTTTTCACTCAAGTTTGGAGAAAGTCTCAATAACATTCTTAGGTATAGACACAAAATCCAAGGAATAAAGAAAAGCACGGTAGGAGGGTGATAAGGCACTGTATGAAAGATGGTGTGAAATGTAGTGGGCTGTACACTTTCTCTTCCCCTTACGAAGTGCAATAAGAAGATCAAGGTAAGTGGGATCAGCTGCAACAATGGTGTTAGGGACAAAAACATTATCATCAGAAAACATAACAGGCTCAGGCTCAAGAGGAATACTTGGAACTGTATCTGCCGAATCTGGAGTTTTAAAATGACTGACAGAGAGGTGTGGGTCAAGGATGTGTGGAGTCAACCATCATCTGTCGACGCTGATATTGCTGTGAGGCTGCCCGTAGGTAATGAAATTGGAGGTGTAGGTGCTGGCTGAACTGATGGTGCAGGTGGTGGCTGAGCTGATGTAGATATTGGCTGAACCGATGAAGGCACCACAGAAACAGGAAGAAGAACAGATTCAGATTGTGAGTTCTCCTCCCCAAAACTCTCCCCCTGAGGAGAACAACTCGAGAAGAAGAATGTGGATTCAATAAAGTTAACATCCATAATGACAAATCTGCTCCTCAACACTAGGTCATAACAACAATACTCCTTTTGGTTCTGAGCATACCCAAGAAAAACACATTTCTTGGCCTTAGGATCTAATTTCTTGCGATGAGGGCCAAGAATGTGAATAAAAGAAACACAACCAAAAACCCTCAAAGGTATATGAAATATCTCTCCATCTAGAAAAATAAGGCTAAATGACACCTTAAACCTCAAAGTCCGTGAAGGAACACAGTTAATCACATGTACGGCTGTAAAAACTGCATCTCCCCAGAACTACACAGGAACTGAAGTACATACCATAAGACTCATTGCAATGTGTGTTTTTCCTCCCAACAACTCCATTCTGTTGCGGTGTATATGCACAACTGCTCTGATGAACTACACCATGTTTTAGGAGAACGTGGTTAGGTCCTTCTCAAAGTACTCTTTGGCATTATCTGATATAAAAATCTTAGTTCTTACTCCAAATTGTGTGAGAACCATCTGATGGAATTATAGTACTAAGTTAGAAACCTCATCGCGTGATCTCATCAAATATATCTAAGAATATCGTGTATAATCATCCACAAACAAGAGAAAGTAACGGAATCCTCCCATGAAAGGGATTTGATATGACCTCTATACATCAGTGTGAACAATATTAAAAACAGTACTTTTGTTACTTGGTTTAAAAGACTGTCTACAATGTTTTCCTAACTGACAATTCTCACACTCCAAAGTAGATAATTGAACAGGCTCACAGTTTTGGGAAAAGACATTTCAAAGAACTAAAAGAAAGATGTCCAAAGCGATTGTGCCAAAGCATAATCTGGTTCATTGACTCTGACCCATTACTACTGCTGCTGCTAACATGATGGCCCTAATGTCTCGGAATCTCATCCAGAAGGTAGACTCCATTCACCTCACGACCACTCCCAATCATCTCCTTCGACTCTAGATCATGCAAAATACAATTACTAGGAAGAAATGTCACAAAATAATTCAATTTTTTTGTCAAAGAACTAACAAACAGTAGGTTGGTATGACTAGGGACATGTAAAACAGAAGACAGAGTTATATCATTGGTCACTCTAACTGTCCCCTTTCCCAGCAATGGGCATATGTGAACCATCTATTGTAGAGACTCTCTACCAGAGCACAACTGATAGGAACTGAAAATGATAGGGGCATTAGTCATATGCTTAGATGCTCTTGAGTCTATAATCCAGGGAGGTCCCTCCTTACCTGAAGTGGATGCAAGATTTGCAGTTGCATATGAACTACCTGTATGTGCAAAGGAAGTGGTGTAGTTGGCTCCTGCATTCTGTTGTCCATCTAGAAGGTTAGAGCTAAGTGAATTTTTCTTATTCAAACTGTCCAAACCTCTCCAATTATGTTCACACTGCTGCTACTACAATGGATTCTCAATCAGTTTGGGAGGGGTTGAAGAGTCCTGTAGTGATTACATTTGCATTTCCCTTCTTGTTTCTTATCCGAACAGGCATAAGAATTGAATGAATCTTCCAACAAGTGTCATCGGTATGCTTGCTTAGGCTTCTTGCAATAATCACACACCAAGTCCTTTTTATCTTCCCTTCTAGTCTCACTACTCCCCCTGTCTCCATTCGGCTTAGGTTTTGTTGTACCAACCATAGCCGACTGGTCAATCCCAAGCTGTTTCAGCATTACATTCATCTTACTCTCTTCTCCAGAGACAAAAGCATAGGTCTGAGAGAGTGTCACATCCTCCATTGAAAGAATATACTGCCTAGCAATGTCAAATTTTGGGTTCAGCCTTGCCAAGAACTCAAAAACCCTATTCCTCTATCAGTTTGTGATAAGTTGCTGCATCATTTACACTTTTCCATACCATAGTTTCTAAGTGATCTATTTCCTGTCATAGGGTTTTCAGCATGGAGAAATACACAGCAAGAGGTTTTTCTCCCTGTTTCATACTTATCACCTGATTTCTTAACTGATAGGCTCTAGCTTCATTTTGCTTATGAGAGTAGATTTCAATCACTTTATCCCAAATCTCCTTAGCAGTATTAGCCCATAGAAAATGTTTTGCAATATGAGATGAGATAAAATTACATAGCCAAGACATTACCATGTAATTCTCTTGCATCCATCGTGAAGAGTATGTATCAGGTTTCTTCTCTTCCCCAGTGAGATACCTTAATTTTCTACAGGCACCAATAGCCATCTTAGCTGATTGTGCTCACTCCAAATAATTTGTACCATCAAACTTTACTGTAGTAATGATCCCAGACCAAAAAATATCACTACTACCTCCAACACCCAATCACACAGTACCGATAGATTTCATCTCGGTATTCCAACTCTCTATTTTACTTCAAACAGTTCAACAGTAAGAAAAAATAGATTAAAGACCTTCAAAAAATAATTTAATACCACACACATAAACCAACCCTTCCGAAAGGAGAAAACCCTAGCTAGGGGGAAATCTCTCTCCTCCCCACACCTCTCAACAGAGAAAAGTGAATCGATCACTCCGGAAGGCCTAGAAAATTTCAAAAACCAAACCGCCCTCTTCAGAAAAACAAAAGAAAACTAACAATACCTGGGCGCCCAAGATCAGATAAAAAATAGAGTCCAACTTTTCTGGGACTCTTTCTCATACTCCAGTTCTTCCTGATTTTAATGCCGAACAGTAGATCACATTCCTGATGTCTAGATCCCACCAAATACTCCAAGAACTGGGCAATCTATAGCAGATTGATCAACCTTTTACTACTTCATGCAGTCGACTGATCTAAGGCTGCATGAGAATGCTTCAAGAAACCCTAGCCGATGCTCTGATACCAAGTAGGAATTTACTGAATTAAAAAAAAAATATATATATATATATATATATATATGAAAAAAAGTAGTTTCTTGAAGAGAGAATGAGAAGAGAAGGAGAAGAAGAGAAGTTGAAAAGAAAAGAGAGCAATAATTTAGCCGCCCCCTTTCACTTATTATTTATACTAAAATAATAGAACGGTATAAAGACAATTATGCCCTTATGGGGCGACAAAATATAAAACAACATATATAACACTCAAAAAACATAATAAAATTTGGACTCACAACTAATGTGGTCCCCACCTTCTATCTAACAACTAACATAAAATATCTACTCAGAAAAACATCATAAAACTAATTAATCTTCAACAATTACCAATGTTTCTATTAAGCTTAAGGCAAGCTTGAACGTGCATTACTGGTGCACAATGCTCCATGAGGTTGGCAATTGCAGTCATCCATGTGGGAACTTGGAGGCCTTCGGGATCATTTGCAATGGTTCAATGAGCCCATAAAGGCCTTTTGCAATGGCTTCTGCATTAGAAATTGGCTGAAGAGCACAGCCTCGTAAAAGACAATACTGCAGCTGAGAATATAAAGTATTCAACTTTTGCATTCAACAAATGAAAATTACATTTTTAGGTAGCATCCATCCAGTAAGAGGGAAGGAAAAACCATCTCTAACAAAGAAAAGAAGCTCAACAAAACACATTCAAGATGGGATAGCACTAATCATCTCTTTCTTCTTTGGTTTATTATATCCAAAAGAATTGTGTCAAATAGTGGTTAGGACATTTGGTCAGGTCAATTACAGCTTATGCCATAAAAAACCGTTAAATTTTATCTTCAGAATCTGAGCTGCAGTGTTGAGTCCACATATATATATATATATATCCTCACTGTGATGCACACAAATAATAAGGGAAGAAGGGCGATGACCATGATTAGAAGAATTATATCATCCAAGACTAGCAACGCAGGACACAACTGCAAATGCCCTGCAAATTTGAATAAGATGAATGCCAGTCGCCTGGGTTTGACACTAAGATTTCATTATTGAGCCTGCTGAATAGGAGTAATCCTTTCCCTCCCAAATGTAATTTCCTTCACTTGCATATTATTATTGCTTTATCCTTGGTGACCCAGCTCATCTTTGCATTGGACTAGCTGTGTTCCCATACTATAGTTCTGCTTGGAAAGGGAACAGTACCCTTATCATGTAGATACTACTCTTTTCCCCCATAGTGGTATACAAGAAAATGCATGTCATTTCTCCCCATTCCACCTCTTTAACTGCTAAATGATTCAGTAGAGGGAGATGCAGCGCTGCGCGGTTCATTTCTATACATCTGCTGCTGTTAGAGTTTTTCCTTTAGGGTGGGGTGGCATGCCATCAAATTTAAAACTCTGGTATGCCACTTGACCTCGTAGAGTACTCCGATACCAGCTTTAAAAACATTGATGACTTGTCCTCCAACAGTCGGACAGGAGTATCAAATTCAGCAACACGACCTGCAAAAATACCCCCATATTGATAAGCTGTCATGGCATAGAATATATTTTAACAGAATAATACCCATCATAGTGCACAGCTAATCTCAAAATAAATCCTTATATTGTGGACTCAATCATAAGATGTTACCAGAATTTAATATCATATAAAATAACAATGGAGTATCCCATTACAGTATTAACAAAGTCCTAGTGCATCGTCGTCAGCCTTTTGTTTTATAATAACCCTGCAATATACACAAATGTTGGTTCAGAGATATTTTGTGCTCACCATCACTGAGGACCAGAACTAGATCACTGTCAATGACAGTTGGGATTCGATGTGCAATAGTGCAGACAGTGCAGTCCTTAAACTCTGTTCGGATAATCTTCTGGATAAGATTATCAGTGGCAGTGTCAACAGAAGCTGTGGCTTCATCAAGAACTAGTATTCGTGCCTGCTTCAGCAAAGCTCGTCCTAATGAAACAAGTTGCCGCTGTCCAACACTCCAGTTATCCCCATTCTCTAATACTGCAATTTTTCATGAAAACACAAGGTGGTAGGTTAGTGCTCCACCATCAAAAGAACTTCTACGTAACATTTTCATGCATGATATATTTGCTTATACATGTGCCCATTATATCAAAATCTGTGGACATACCTGGGGTACCAAGCTTTCCCTTCTTTTGCCGGATTATGTCACCAAGCTGAGATTTATCAAGAGCCTGAGAGAGGAAAACAGAAAACATGAGATTCATCTGGACCAGCATCCTAGTATTGATGTCTAAAGGAAGAATGAGAAAGGTAGCTACTGATTAGAAGAATAAAAAAAGACCAAAATATACACAGTATCAATACTTGACCTGCCACACATCATGATCAGAGTGTTCTTCAAGTGGGTCAAGGTTGCCCCTAATGGTCCCTTCAAACAAGGCTGGATCTTGTGGAATGATACTTAGACGACCACGCAGATCATGAAGACCAATTGTTGAAATATCAATGTTGTCAATGATGATCCTCCCACCTGCTGGTTCAATCAACCGAAAAAGAGCCTGGATCAATGTAGATTTGCCACTTCCAGTACGTCCAACAATACCAATCTTCTTCCTACCAGGAAATGTGCATGTTACTCCATGAAGGACCACAGGAAGACTTTCCTTGTAACGAACCTTTTACAAATAAAACAGTCAGTGGATAATAAACTGGTAGAAACAATTTAAATAAACAAAATTCTGCCTCCAAAAAGATGAAAAATAACTAAAAAATGCATAATGTGTTGTGTGTATATATCATCATCATCAATGCCTTATCCCAACTATATGGGGTCAGAGCTACATGAATCCTGTTTCGCCAATCTGTTCGACTTAAAGCCATATCCACTGTTAAATTATTAATGCTTAAATCATTCCCAAACCATAATAGTCTACTCTCTCTCTCTCTCTCTCTCATTTTATCACCTATTGGAGCTATTCCTAGGTTCCTATTGATAACTTCATTCTTAATCCTATCCTTTCTAGTTTTTCCATTCATCCATCTTAGCATTTGCATTTCTGCCCCATTTATTTTCTGGACATGTTGTTTCTTGACAAAAGTGAAAACTATATAACAAGTTTGTGGTAGTATTAAGAGGTTCTCCGTTTCCAACTTCACATGTTAATGTATTTTGAAGCAGGAAGAGGACCCAACAGACTCAAAATAGGGCTCAACGAACAAAGATGACAATATATAAAAGGCCCCCCACCTGCCACCCCCAGTAACAAGTATTGAGTGAGAAAAAAAAAAAACGAAAGCTTTGATTTAGTTTCTGTTTTGGAATTATGATGAAAAAAGGGAAGAACAAAGAACCATATGTTCTTTTCAAGGTCCAAATACCCATGGCAGACAAGAAATCTCTGTTTCATTAGCTGGAGGGTAATAAATGGATAAATTTTAAAGAGTCAAAACATGCTCTAATTTAAGGGGGTATTTGCCAATATGCATGATTTTGACAAGAGCATCCATCTCTACTTGCATTGCTTCCTTCCATTCAGGTATCAAAAGAGCTTCTTGCACTTTTCTGGGTATAGGAATAGTAGAAATAGATGCCAAGTAAGATCTGCAGGATTTTGAGAAACAATTATAGGAAAGGAATTTGGAGATGCAATGGGCAGTGGATGAGGTGCAACGGCGCTTCCCTTTACGAATAGCAATTAGAAGATCAAGTTCATCTGTCAGTGAAGGTTGAGCATCTGTAACAGTGGGATCAACAATGGGAGCAGTTGTAGTGTCTGGATTTGGGGCTGTAGAAGATGTTGGAACTGGCCTGGATTGCTGTTGAGTACGAGAATCAACCTGCCTCCACCACTTTCTGTGATACACTCTCAATTCCCTGCAGTTTTGACAACTTTCTTCGCAACTCCCCCCAGCAATTGGGACAGGTAAAGGAATTTTTTGGACTAAAACTGAAATCCCTTCCTCACTATTCTCCCCTTGAGGAGAAGCCTTATGATAGTAGGGCATATCCTCAAAGAAGGTGACATCCATGGACACAAAGCGCTTCCCTGAAACTGGCTCATAACAGCAATATCCCTTTTGATTTTGTGCATACCCAAGGAAAATACACTTAGTGGCTTTGGGATCAAACTTAGAACAATGAGGTCCAAGGATTTGAACAAAACAAGTACACCCAAAAGTTTTGAGGGGAATAGTGAATAGGTCTTTATCTAGATATAGAAGACTGAACGGGGTTTGCATGTTTAGGACCCGTGAAGGAACCCTATTAATGAGGTATATGGATGTACGGATTGCATCCCCCCAGAATCGTATGGGAACGTTGGAGTTGAGCATGATGCTTCTAGCTACCTCTAAAATATGTTTGTTTTTTCTCTCAGCAACCCCGTTTTGCTGAGGTGTGCGAGGACAAGTGCTCTGATGAATGATCCCATGATCAAGGAGATAGGATGCCAAGGGTTTTGCAAAGTATTCCTTGACATTATCAAATCTAAGAATCTTGATCTTGGTTTCAAATTGGGTTAGGATCATCTGATGGAAAGCTTGGGTCAAAGAGGGGACCTCATCTCGAGAGTGCATAAGGTAGACCCATGAAAAATGGGTATAGTCATCAACAAATAATAAGTAATATCTATACCCCCCCATGGTGGAAGTTTGGTAGGGCCCCCAAACATTGGTATGCACAATCTCAAAAGGAAGGTTGTTTTTTTATTACTTAAAGGAAAAGATGATCTACTGTGTTTTGCAAGTTCACAACTTTCACACTTTAACCCAGACACTTCTACTGACTCAAACAAGTTTAGAAAAAGGCTCTTTAAAGACTCAAAAGATAAATGGCCTAAGCGGTTGTGCCAAAGCATAATCTTACTACAAGACTGAGAAACAAACAATTTCCCTACTTCACTCTACTTCCCCTGTAAATGTTCAAGCAAGTAGACTCCATTCATCTCACGGCCAATCCCAATCACCTTATTCGTTTCTAGATCCTAAAAAACACACCAATCAGGGAAAAAGGTTACTAAACAGTTTTGATTTTTAGTAATACTACTCACTGAAAGTAAGTTAGCACTAAGCTTGGGAACATGCAAAACTGAGGATAGAGTGATGGTATCTGATAATCTGATGTCTCCCTTGCCAGAAATCGGTACAAGAGAGCCATCAGCAATAGAAACTTTGTCTCTATCAGAGGAAAAACAATAGGTGCGAAATAGAGTAGATATGCTGGTCATATGATCTGAAGCACCTGAATCTATTACTCAGAAAGGTCTAGTATTACCTGGGACAGAAGCATGGCAAGAAATAGCTCTTGTACCTATATGAACAAGGACTGAAGTAGGCTGAGCTGGTGTAGGCTATTGAATTGATGTAGGCTAAACTAAATTACTAAATTCATTTTCTAGCTAAGTCAAAGCAACTCGGACTGCAGCTAGGGTATCTAGAGGAGTGCCTCTTGTGCCTAATGAAGTTGTACTATCGGTGTTGACAGCCATATTAGCACTCCCTTTCTTATTTCTGAGTTTTGTTGGAACTATATGAGGGCGCAACTTCCAACAAGTGTCCTTAGTATGTTTAGGTTTTTTGCAGTGTTCACATACTAGATCCTTCTTAGCTTCCTTCTTTTCCTTATCCCCCCCAGATTTGGGTCTAACTGCTACTAAGGCTGATTCGGAGGGTTGTTGCTGCAACATAACCTTTCTCCTAGTTTCTTCACTGTGCACTAGGAAATAGGCTTGCGATAAAGTTACACTATCTCTTGTCAGCAATTGTTGTCTTACAATGTCATATTCAGAGTTCAGATCAGCTAGGAACTCAAAGACTGTTAGTTTCAACCAGTTTTCTGTATGTTTGTGCATCTTTCTGACTCTCCCACTCAATTGTTTCAAGATGGTCAATTTCATGCCACAGGGATTTCAAGGTTGAAAAGTAAACAGAGACCTGCTTCTCTCCTTGCTTCAGATTTTTAACCTTACATTTTAGCTCATAAGCCCTAGCTTAAGGGGCTGAGAGTAGGTTCCCTTCACAACATCCCATATTTCCTTAGTTGTTTTGGCCCACAAGTAGTTTCGGCTTATGTGTGGCTATATAGAGTTGCATAGCCATGTCATCACCAAAAAATTCTCTTGGACCCACCTAGCATAACTAGGGTCCTCCTTGGACGGTTCCTTCACATCCCCTAGCAAGAAGTTCAATTTTCCTCTACCCCAATAGCCATCATAGCTGATTGGGCCCATTCAAAGTAGTTTGGTCCATCAAACTCAACAGTTGTAATCTGAAAGGTGTTTTCAGTCATGTTACTTGAACCACCAGTCCCAAAAACACCTTCCCCTTGGTTCTTGTACTCCATTCTAAGTTAGGAGATGATTAAGGAGAAGCTTTAAACTACCGTGACAAGAAAAAAACTGTACCTCAAGGCTGATAACAACCGACCTAGGACAATGATTTTGCAGTTAGATAACAGTCAACTACTATCCTGGGATTGATATCAGTCCTGGACTTTAGGTTTTTTTTCCCAAAATCATTATTGGACTGATTGATATCAGTCCTGAGATTTTCTATCCGTCCCTCTCTAAATGAATAACAAAGTCCTTTTGAATATCAATCTCAAGAAAAGGTACTTACTTTATGAAGAAAAATAGCCAATTTACCTCTTACTGCTGTTGGCCTCAAGAAAGGAAGAAACTTGCCTAGAAAAACTGAAGAATGCCAACTTGTCTCTGCTGTCGGCCTCAAGAAAAAGGAGAAAATTGCCCAAAAAACTGATTGCTACCTTCAGTCTTCAAACTTTATCAATCGACTACCATCAGAACCTTGAATCTTGATCAAAGAACCAAGAGAAAGCTGATCGGCACCTCCAATCTTGATCAAGAATCGATCTTGATCACTCAATTTCTGCCTGATTCTTCCTGATTACAAGAAGCACTCTCCAATCTTAGGACAGCTGCTAAAGCCTTCTTGCAACCTCCAAGAATCAGCCGAAGTAAGGATCTGTCTGAACTTTCAGCCCTAAACAATTCTCATGTGGTCGACTGAATTAAATCCACATGAGAAACCCTAGATCGAATGCTCTAACACCAACTTGGAAGAAGAAGAACTGCTTACTGTATAATTAGAGAAGTAATACAGGTTCGAAGAGAAGAGAAGAGAAGAGAGAGAGAGAGAGAGAGAGAGAGAGAAGAAGAAGAAGAAGAAGAGAGAATAGAGGAGAAAAGAAAGAAGGGGTTCAGTGATTGATGATCTGCCGCCCCATACACTTCTTTATTTATAGCTTTAGGTTCCTTACAAGAATAGGAGAACAAACATAAAGTCCTAGTCCTACTAAGACAAAAAGAAAAGAGGATAAACATAACATGGATAAGGCCAGCTGGCCCATCTTAAAAGAAATTAGAAACAGCTAGGTGTGGGTATGGAACCACACACACTAGAGCCTGAGTGTGGGTATGGAACCCCACACTCGTGGCTAACCAACTATTTCTTCCCAAGAAACACTTCCCAACACAAAACTTGAACTTTAGGTGGAATAGGCTTGCTCCAAATCTCTTTCACCAGGATGTTCTCCCCCACAGTATTGGAGCTTAATAGAGCGTTAAAGAAGGAAAAACAAGTAAATAATCCATCAGTAGAGGCTGACTAGACTCTAGCATCTCTTTATTTTGAACCAAAAAATAACAGAGTCAAGCTT